TAGACTTCCAGAGAAATTACCATGGATTTCGCACTGTTTATGTCTAATATAACTTTCTCCTTAAGCTTCTAAGCAGCTTCTTCTACTTCTTCATTGGTAATAGGGTAGGAACATGTATCCGAAATCAACATCCTATCTATCGCTATGCAATCATTAGTTTAATCATTTGACTATTCTAGACTTACTCCAGATCTGCCTCCGATCTGTCTATTTATATCAATAGCAGCTTCCGCATTCTTATTGGCCCAGTCTAGCTGTCCACCGTAGTTTGTACTGTCCCCTGCGGGTCCCAGGACCCTGGTGCCGTAGGCCTGCCCGGTCAATTTGCCGCGGTCATCATTGAAGATCTCTCTGTTGTAACCGGCTTTACCCTGGAATACAGATAATGTGGGTCATTGAACATTCGTCGGTTGTTTGAGGATTTTGCTTTTGTTGGGTCGTTTAATTCTGCTTTTGGAAGCAGAAAGTAAAACTCCTTATGCTTAAGCCGATCCAATTCAAAAATTAATAATTCCACTTACGGAGAAGTAATGATTGGGTATTGACAACCATATGTTGCGAAATACAATGGCTTCTCAAACTATTTAGATTCATTGATGTAACGAAATCGGGGTTGCTCGTGAAATGAGGGATTTTTAAATTTCATCTTAGATAGGCCGAAATTCCGTTTCCATTATCATATCATGTAATTAATACTAAGAGCAGATTCTGCGAAACACTGCCCTTAAGTACTAGGGCTAGTGTTAGCAACGTCCTTAGGTTAGAGCTCCGTGAGCTCACCTACTCATCCGCTTACTCTAGCATAGCCTTCTAGGTTAACAGCTTAAGTAGGATTACTACTTAAGCGTAATTACTAGTGGTAGGACCTCTTATGAGTCCGCACGGGTAGGTACCAACGCCCTTTCTATTTCTGGCGTGAAGCAGTAATGCGTTTCGGTTTGAAGGGTAGGGCAGCCGTTGTAATTATACTGAGACCTTAGAACTCATATCTTAAAGTGGGTGGCAGCATTTACTTTATAGATGTCTATGGGCTCCGGTAACCACTTAGCACCAGGGGGCTGTGAGCTCGTTCAGCCAACTATGCAATAAAAAAAAATGAAAAATCGGCGAACAATATCCATAGGTAATTGTGAAGTATATCCCGTGACGAGAGTTGTTAAGTTTTATACTCACAAAAAGCCCATCATCATTTTGGCCCAGCGTGCCGAAGACCTTCCCTCCCCCCACTTGTTTGTCCCAGGTGACGTCACGCGGGTGTCGCTTTGAAAACTGACCGCTAACTGGATATCTGAAAAGCCATTCAAACAATGTAGCGAAGGAAGTAGGGTTTGTGACTAACTCTTGTAATAAAGTATAAGACTATTGATGGTATTTAAAAAGATCTACTCACCCTTCTTCGTCCTTGGCTGATCGTTCGTCCTTGTTTAACAATCACATCAGAGAGAGATAGTAAGATTGTTGGATAAGCCTAACATCAGATTTTTTTGCATTATCTTCTATATATATATAAAAATGAATTACTGTTCGTTAGTCTCGCTAAAACTCGAGAAGCTGGACGATTTGGCTAATTTTTGAGTCTTGAATTATATTATATTTTGGATAGTCCAGAGAAGGTTTAAAGTAGATTAATATGGAAAGTAATTGCTCGGAATAAATAAAAATTGGGAACGATTTCTTTGTTTTAGGTTTATTTTACACAAAAGTTTGAGTCTTTTATTTATCGATTGAGGCACTACGAAGTCTGCCGGGTCAGCTAGTATACTAATAAATATTTCGTATTGTTTTAGGTCAAAATGAATTCCAAACTATTATATTTCTTCGCCACGGTCCTGGTGTGTGTCAACGCAGAAGTTTATTCGGAGT